TAGCTCAGTCGGTAGAGCATGAGACTCTTAATCTCAGGGTCGTGGGTTCGAGCCCCACGTTGGGCGTATTCCCTTTCTTTATGCTTGATCGAGTCGCGATTCCACGAATCGTTGATTCGCGATTTTCCCAATCGGTGAGTTGACAGTCGGTGATCCGATTCTACCTCGCGTTTTCGCGCGATCTGGTTGAATACCCATCGGTTTCGAGGGGTTACCAAGGGAGAAGATGAAGGGCATCCTTTCCGGTCGGCTGCTTTGTTTTCGCTTGGTTCTAGGTAGTTGCAGTCGGTTGTCGAAGAACGGAGGAGACATCCGATGATCCCATTCCACTGCTGCGGACCGGAAAAACGGGGATCTGTCGCGAGTTCCTCGGGATCACGTCGCCCGTTCGGATGGCTGAGGATGACTTTGGAGGGCTGAGGATGACTGAGGGATGTCAAAGATGGAGTGGAAGGCGGAGACTCCCGCCTCCTTCGAGGCAGAAATGAGTCGGGTGAATCGTTTCCACTTTCCATCGGCAGGGTGACTTATGCCATGCGAGACGCCGGAGTCTGGACGGAGAGGAAATCGGGGGCCATTCGGTGATGACCGGGCTCACGATTGCCGGTCCGGTGCATATCGACGAGTTCCAGGTGTCGATGTGTGCAAAAATGACTTTCGCTTCGACGGGAGGATCCAAACCTGAAACCCTGCAGATCAAATCGTGTCTCGGGCCAGGTGCGATTCCATCTAATGGAATTATGATTCCGTCGTAATTTGACAAAATTTGTGACAGCTTTGTGGCTTTTATCTTCTTCCGAATTTTAATCGGTAATATGAGAAAGCCATGTGCGTTACTTTTTTTTTTATAGCATGAAGTATGGGAACGTCGTTCCCACTCCTTCTCGCTACTTTCATTGAAAGTAACTCCTTGAAATCCAGTACATTGACCTGCATTTCTCCATCAACCTGTTGCCTGTGCCGAATCTTTGAGTAGTGAAAGCGGAGATGAGAAAGGGTATGGGAGCCCGGCTAGCTCAGTCGGTAGAGCATGAGACTCTTAATCTCAGGGTCGTGGGTTCGAGCCCCACGTTGGGCGACTCTTCTTTTAGTTTTCCTTCCTCTCGAGTCTTCTTTTCCTGCATTTCCTCTGTTCCTGCGTGCACGGTGGGAGGGCAGAAGAATGCGACACGCGACAGGCGCTTGCTGAGAGCGAAAAGGACGGGTCGACGAAGGCCCTGAAAAGCCACCTTTCTGGCCAAGAAGCGAGAAGTAGGAATTTCATTCCGGTTCTTACTCGGTCCGATCGCCTGTAAGATGGCGGACGTTCTCGACGGGATCTCGAGTTCCTCGAAACGTTTTGGGTTCGATCTCCACGTTGGGCGACTAGGTTCTTATTTTACGCTTTACAAGTGTGATGCCCCTCTACTCCCGTCTCTTGCGTCTTGAAGCGACTTTTAATAGCTTCATTTATTAATTGGCGTGGAAAACACAGTTTTGAATGAGTTTAAACATCGAACATTAACCCATTTTTAGCATGATGAGTTCGCGCATCATGCTCCAACTCCCAATGAGTGTTAGCTCCATGTTTCAACAAATAATACTAATTCATTAACGATATGAAGCAACTTGAGGTATATAACCATTTTTGTAAGGCGATACTCCGTGGACATTGATTTCCAAAGGTGGCGCCTACCGGTAGACAAGGCATGCGTTCATGAAGGGGGGAAAAACTGATGTGGGAATTGAATCGGTTGACAGTGATTCTAAAGGCGAAATGATCGATGACGAAGACAGTCTTCGACCTAATGGACTATATTTGACCCAAGGGGTTACTTAGTCAAGTCTTACTAGGTGCAGAGGCGTGGCCGGGGACTGACCTGAGTCACATTTTTTGCACGGCCCAACTCGGACTGCCACACTCGGCGTCATACTTTCCCATAAATTTACCCTAAGCGACCCATGCACGGTCGGCTAAGGTAACTTTAGGGTACGGTATCTTTAAGATCTGCCACATCCAGTAAATTCTGCGGAATTTCTCGAGGCAGAACGATCTCTTGGAGGCGTCCGAATCTCATTTTTTTCGGTGGCAATTGCGTCCTTTTATGCTTGAGTGGCCGCCTGCGCCGAATCTCTCATTTGTGAAAGTGGATCATCACTTCGATACGTACAGCCCGGCTAGCTCAGTCGGTAGAGCATGAGACTCTTAATCTCAGGGTCGTGGGTTCGAGCCCCACGTTGGGCGAGTTTTTTTTCTCTCCACTTACGATATGATCCTTCCCTCCAGATCTTTCTTTGAAGGGTTGGATGGCGGGGCGTGTGCTTTGCACGAGGCCGTTTCACGCTAGGCGCGAGACGCGGGCGATTTCGGCGCAGCAAATGCGGCTTGCGTGTCTGCGTGCGTCCGCCGTGCGCTCGAGTGCAAGGGAACAAGCGTGTACGTGGCGTACTCTCACGCGTTTAGGTTATTCCACAGGTTTAGGGACGGAATCGCCAAAAAGAAAAATCCTACATTTGATGCCAGTTTAGGAGGGGCAATCCCTTTATCTAATATATATAGACGATCGTGACTGACTGACTGACTGACGCTAGATCTAACCATGTTCTAGAAGGGTTAAAAATCTGAAACTTGGTACACATGTACCTTTTGGGATGCAGAGTTCAGAAAAAAATCCGACTTTAGAGGTACATGCCCTGGGGGTAAAAATTTTTTTTGGGGAAACGNGCTCCCTCCAGAACCACATGCAGGGGAAGCACTTTGATACCCAGAAGGCGCTCGAAACTGACCTCAAGCACTTCTTCGAGGCCAAGCCCCCGGCGTTCTACAGGGAGGGCATCCACTTCCTGTCCGAAAGGTGGAGGAAGGTTGTGGGCAACGATGGTGCTTACATTGTGGATTGACCTTGCTTTTATTATAAATGAAGAGAGAATGAACAAAAACAAGAAAAACTCCAAAGACTTTCTTAACAACCCAATATTTTTGTGAGCCGACGTTTTCAAGTATTTCTTTGTCCTGGCGTATTGTGTTGAGCCAGTGTGGAAAGATGAAACTTGGTACATAACTATCTATTGGGATGCTGCAGAAAACCTCACACTTTAGAAGTAAATGCCCTGGGATCACAAATTTCAAAGGGAGATGTTTCCAACTAATTTTTTTGCCTCAGTTAAACTGATGAACATGGAAAGCTGAAACTTTGCATGAATGTGACTGCTGAGGCAGAGTTAAATAAAAATCTTAAGTCTCGATACATCCCTTGGGGGAATTTATTCGAGGGGCGATGTTTAAAAAAAAAATTGTTGTGGCGAATTGAACAGAAATGGAAAGGTGAAACGTGCACACGTATAAGTGACATGATATTGCTGCGCTGAGGGAATATTCAGCTTGCATGGGGCATCCCCTCCGGGCACAGCTTTTGGTTGGGTCGCTTTTCCAAATACATTTTTTTTTTTCCGCCAGCAAAAAGGGGAAACAATTACGGCTGAAACTGGGTGGCATGGAGTTCCCTGAGTCTACATTTCAGAAGGAAAAAAATTTTCGTTAAAACCCATCAGGGCACTTTCTCAAGTCCCATTTTCCAGATTTTTTCTTTTATCCAACGAAACAGACTGAAAATTTAAACTTCCCTCAAAAGTACCTATTTGATGGCTGAGCACAGGAAAAATCCTACTTTTGAAATATGTTCAATTAGCGTAGATTACAGGGGGGAAATATTTCAAAATGTATTCTCCACCCTTCCAAAAATGACACATGAAAAGATTTCAAGTTAGGCACACTAGAAATTTTGGAAGTAATGATTTTGATAAAAATTGAGACTTTAGTCACATATGTCACGTATTTCAATGGTGACGCACTTTAAATACGTGTTTGCCATTTCGTAAATAATAAATGAGTTAATCACTATCCAAGATAATGGAGCGTCGAAGGCGCGACCATGGCGAGTTTGTTTAGTAAAATATATATTCTGATTAATAAAAGAAAACCCTATTCAAAACGTAACGATTACTCTTCCTTCACATTTGTAAAGGCGTGTGGACATAAATGTACGCGCGTGTTCTTTTGCATTCGAACGCGATCAGACGCATGCTGCATGCGTCTCGAAACCGTACGCATCACACGCCAAGTGTGCAATGGGCCTTTAGCCCACGGGCGGCGGGGTGCTCGCGGCCTTGAGGTCCCACCGGGAAGACTCCGGGCTTTTCGAAGGGAGATCCGCGCGCTTGGCGGGATGCCAGGCACCAGAGGCAGAATTGCGTCGCACCCGGTCGCACCTCACTTCGGAGGGCCGGAGGGAGAGGGAAACGTTATGCAACTCGTTCGGGTGGATTTCGAAAGAATCGCTGAGCGTTTTGCAGCGAATGCGAAGCGATTCCCAGCCGGAGGGAAAGCCGATCGGAAAAACGGTAAAATTTGAAGAAAAAAAATCCTCGGACAGACGAAGTGGACTTTTTCGCGGTCCTATCGCGGATGATCTCGACTGCGGCGTCCGCACGACCTCCCCAACCGACTGACAGCGTCCGAATCTGAAGCGGTCGAGATTGTATGTGCCTCTGACAAGGAAAGTGAGAGCCCGGCTAGCTCAGTCGGTAGAGCATGAGACTCTTAATCTCAGGGTCGTGGGTTCGAGCCCCACGTTGGGCGGCTCCGTCTTTTTTTTCCTTTCCAGTTGAGTCTTCTTTTACTGTATTTCCTCTGTTCCTTCGTGCACGGTGGAAGGGCAGAAGAATGCGACACGCGGCCAGCGCTTGCTGAGGGTGGAAACGATGGATCGACGAAGGCACTGAAAAGCCACCTTCTGGCCAAGAAGCGAGAACTAGAAATTCCATCCCGAGTCTTACTCAGAACGGATCCCACGGACTTACTCAGTCCGACCGCGCGTACGATGGCTGACGTTCTCGACGGGATCTCGACTGCCATGACCTCCGGAACGAGGCACACCCTCCCCTAGCCCTTTCCCCAGACGCAGCCCAGAAGCGGCAACAATTTCTCATTTTCGGAGCCGCTGCACGGCGAAGAGACGAGGATGTGGAAGACGGGAGATAGAGAGCGCCTGGGAACCAGGGTCGTTCGGCGCGACAGTCCCGGCCCGAAGAGGCGGAGGTCCTCCAAACTCCACCGAAGAGATAGGAACGAGATGGATGCTCCGTCTCTTCCCTCCGCGTCGTTTCGTGCACGTTTGCCGGCGCGGAGGAGGAGGCGACGCCCGACTCGCTCCAACTCCCGCCAGAGGGGGGAGGGGGAGGCGCGGTTGTCTCTCCCGTTTTCGTGAGCTATTGATCGGATTTTGCATCCAGCGGGAGGAATGAGCTCGTTCCGTTTGTGGCCGTCGGAGTCTCCCGTGTTTCGACCGGCTTGGGGAACGTACGACGTCGATTAAAATGAAGCGCATCTGTTTCCGGCCGGTCGTAGGGTTTCTACGTGCCGTCACCGTGCTTCCGAGAGCTTGCATCGGTCCGTCATGCAACGAAGGAGACGACCCGATCGTCCGACTCCGCGATCGCGGATCCGAAGAATAACCATCTGTCATGAGTTCCCTGGGATCGCCGCCATCTGTCTCCAAGGTCCAACGAGTCCGTGCGAGTCGGAACGGAAAGCGAGAAAATGGCAGAATTTCTGTCGACCAGGATCGCGAATTTGCCGGAGAGGACTCGGGATATCGACATGGGCATCGACCGGGAAGACCTTGAACCCTTAAAATTGAGCAATAATTTGGATCGAATGCGAATGCATAACTACAGTCAGCAATAAAGGTGCACCTGTAGATATACAGGAATGGAAAAAAAAACTAAATAAAAATAAAGACAGTGATGGTGTGAACGTTCCCCCTACCCTCTCCCCCCTCTCCTGCCCTTCCGCCTCCTCCCAGCTTTCCCCTAGCATATGCGGCCACGCTGCGACTAGGCAATGGGTATCAAGTAAGACCGTCATGATAAGTCGATGCATCGATACCACTATCGATGGTTGGAAGAATCGATAGTTTTTTTTCGACCATCGCGATGTATGCGCCAAATGATGGGAAATGCCCCAATGGATTGAGACGAGTACAATACAGTCCGGGCGGGGAAAGGAAGAGGCAGCGTGATCCGCATGGGCGAGCAATTTCTTATCACAATCAATTTCTGGAAATGCTGGGACTGACTATATGAAAGAAGAAAACCCCGCCCCCCCCCCCCCCCCCCCCCCCCCTTTTGCCCCCTTGGTCAGTCCTTTTGGTCGGATTTTCTTTTTCATTCATATGCTTGGAACAGATGATGAATAATGTCAGGATCTCACTGCAGCTTTTAAGCTAGAGACATGGGAACGCTGTTCCCACTCCTCACTCTTTCGCTGATAGTAACTCCGTCATATCCAGTACCATGACCTGCATTTCTTTAACAACCTGCTGTCTGCTCCGAATCTTTCTTTTGTGAAAGTGGAGCGCCGTTAGATCGTGGAAGCCCGGCTAGCTCAGTCGGTAGAGCATGAGACTCTTAATCTCAGGGTCGTGGGTTCGAGCCCCACGTTGGGCGACATTTTTTCCTCCTTGAGAGCAAATCATATTTTCCCCCATTTGTTCCAAGCGTCCCTGCTCCCTTTCTTACATCGGAAGAGCGGAAGTGCGTGGGGACACGCGAGACGATGCGAGAAATGCTTTTCCCTCCATCAGACAGATCGTTCTCGTCTCGACGACTCCTTCCCAGGCCGACCTAGGGCGCGGTCGTCTCCATGACGACCCCATGACGACCCCGACCCTGCCCTCACCCGAGAACGACGACCGAGCATGCTTCGAGCGTGATTTCTGCCCGAGCGAGGCGAATGATCAAAAGTCCGTGTGGAATATATGGAAAGAGTAGCTTTTGCTACGGAAGGCGAAAAAACGGAACTTTTCGCGGTGAAATTAAAAACTGCAAGTCATTGTGTGCCGCGAGCAGTATTTGCCTTCGAGAAGTTGCCCTCAAGGACGACCTCGACTCGGGACGTCGAGACGCGATTGAACCCAGTGAAAAGAACTATGCTTTCGACGCCGAACCTCGAGTCCGGTCAATTTCCGGTGAAATGCGAACGGACTTACTTAAATGATGACTTCGCGATTGTCGGTCGAATTCAGCGTTGAAAGCTGGACGCTGAATTCAGCCATGCTTTCTGCTGGCAGAGACGAACTCCATCTTTTATCCGTGGAATTCGCGTCTCTTATGCGACTTTCTATTACCGTTCTCCTACGGCAGCCCGGCTAGCTCAGTCGGTAGAGCATGAGACTCTTAATCTCAGGGTCGTGGGTTCGAGCCCCACGTTGGGCGTCTCCGTTTTTTTCTCTGTTCTCTTTTCCACGGCAACGCGCGTGCCTCCCTCGACCCGCCCGCGGAGAACGATCTCGGACGGCGTCCGCGGTCTCGTCCGCGGCTTGGCACGGTCCGGGCTAAGCCTCCTCCGCGAGGAGAGAAGGAATCCATTGCGTCGGATTCGCGGACCGTGTCCGGTTTCTTTCTCGGTCCGACCGCGATAAGGCTCGAGAATGCTGACGCGTTTTCGGATGTGCTTTCCTCCGTACTCTTTCCCTTTCCGATGCCCTTGCCCTTGCCCTTGCCCATTCTCCAGAACGACTCCCAGAAGCGGAAACGATTCTCGAACGCGATTTCGAAGCAAAGGAGCAAGGCCCCAGAAAATACCAACGGTGCTTCCTCGCTGGAAACGTGTTTCGTTTGGATCGCTCAGCCGCTTCGGTCCTGCAGCCTCGCGGTTAAGAAACGACCGGAAGTCCAAAACCTGTCGGCATGACAACATTTTTGCGAGATGAAGCCCCCGATGGTATCTTTGCGTTCGGGAGCGCGATCGCACGCCGATCGACTTCGTGGTGGTTCTTCTCGGTATTAAGTACTTCTGAGTACTGCCCTTATCGCGTGAGGACTCTGGACCCCTGAGAGACTCCCTCGGAACCAAACGAGTCCGACGGCTTATCGAATCGGTCCGATAGTCTCTTGGTTAGTCTGTATGACTGAGTAAAAAAAAAATGATGGGGGAGGGGGGGAAGAGACGTGACTTCCCCTGTTAGGGTTGGAAATGTTTCCGTGACTCTCTTGGAAATTTTTTTTTTCCCCACCGTATAAAATTCAAGCAGAGAGACTAGTTCCCCTACTGGCCGTATTTTTATTAGTTTTTTTTTATACTGTAACGGGTGAAACTTCGTCGAGTTGGAGACCTTGTTGCACTGAGCCCACTACACGAGAAAATTCACGGCTGGAAAGTCCTGAAATTCGTAGAGGGGAAGGTGGTTTAACAGGGGTCGGACTCATCGAGTCTGCGTGGCTTGTTTTTGGAGCTTAACAAGAGGAGTCAGAGAAGCGAATGGAATTATTTTTTAGCCGTTCGGAAGAGACGAACGCTCTCGATCCGGCGCGATCGGGTGTCGTTTGGACCTCGACCGGGGGACCGTGGGGCCAGGTGGCGACGGGAAGGATTCCTCGTGCTCGCCTCGTTCGTTTTCGCATTCGGCGTTTCGTAGCACATTTTCTGATACAAATTAAAGATGGAGAAGGAGGCCGGTGTCGTTGTCCTTCGTCGAGCGATCCTCGCCCGGCCGGATCGGTGAACGACTGGGTGCGATTGTGTGCGTGCCGGAAGGAGGTCGATCGGGGATGGATCGATGGAGCGGGAGGGGTGCTCGGCGGCAGAGCTTCTCCCCTCCCGGTGCCTTTAGGTTGGATTCAGTCGCTGTGGTGCTTTCGTCGGTGTGGGACGCGCTCGGGCGAGGTTCTCCCGGCTGGAACAGGTAACGGACGGGGGAGCGATCGCGGTGGGGACCTATTCCGAGCGATTGCGGAGGGTCGGGGGAGGGTTTCAGGTGCGGACGGGACCTGTGTGGGCTCGGGAGTGAGATTCGCGGTGCATGGGCGACTCCCTGGAAGTTCTGCTCGAGTTATCGTGTTAATTCAAGCATTATAAGGCGTTCTAGCGAATGCATTCGCGAAGATCCATCTCTTCGTTTTCGCCCGTTATAGTCCCATTCTGTATGTGTCTGTTCCGCTCTTTGATTTTCCGAAGATAGCTCACGAAATAACTTATTCGTCTGATGTGAACATTTTTAGGCTAACGTGAAGCTGCGCAAGAATGTCCGTCTGATATTTTGGCCGAATTCGCAAAAATAATTTTTTCGTATAGAAAATGTAGACTGCTGAAAAGAACACGAAACAGCTGCCAACTCCCTTGGATTGGGACCTCAATGTTCATGCGCGATGCTCAGCTCTGGTCTGGGTGTCACGCCACCTGCCGGAGCCGCCAGTTCCCTTTCAGCTCTCGTAGCTAACGAACCGATCCATATGATAGCCGACAGACGAAGAGAGTACTCGGCACATGGCATAATCTACAGCAGAGGTCGGGAATCTATTGCACATGAGCCAAAATTGGCTCACGAGCCGAAAAGTTTGGCTTATGGGTCGTGGCTAAAAATCATGGTTGTTCCTCATTTCTCTCATATATCAAAGAATGTAGATGCCTCTAGCCAACTTCAGGAAAAATGATGTTATTTTTTTAGTTTTCGGCTTACGAGCACTTCGTTTGATCTTAATAAGACTCATATGGCCAAAAAGGTTTGCTACCCCTGATCTACAGGGTTGCTAGCCGCCCTCAAGTGATCTCCCATCCGACAGCCTTACACATAGTCGTCTCCTCCCATTTCCCAACCTGCCGGCCGCATCCCCCCCCCCCTCCTGTTCCCTGCAGTCGTTCAAAGGGGGTCCAGTACCACGGGGTGTGTGATAAGTCACTGACTAATTTTTTTTTCAGTCTCTTTTCAGGTTTGATTTTCTTGGACAACTCTGACTTTTTTTTATGCAGTAACGATTAGAGTTTCATATTGATAGGCAACTTTCAATAGAAAAACCCACTCCGGGTTCAGATGGTACAAACAAAACGTTTCCTTTGTCGGTGAGAGCGGAGCCATCGACTGACCAGTATGTAGTCCTTGTTCACTCGGGTGACTTCTTTTTGTAGAGTAATTTCAAATAAAAAATGCATGGTCAGTCAGCCCTTCACGGTCTTTCGAGTTGTGCACCCCTGTCCTAGATTTGAGTAAAATATAAACAAATCTCACAAATTTTCAATAAAATGTAACGAAGCAAATTAGAATTCACTACTTATTATATATTTTTTAAAATTCATGGATGGCAACAGAATATGGCACTTGGGATATTTGAGGGAATCACTTTGTTTAAAGTTGGTACTGAGTTTATTTGCCGTGTGATTCGAAAGTACGTCGTGGTTCTATCATAGTTTCTAGTCGAAAATTCGAGCGATCGATTCCACGGACTCGGTCAGGCATCACTCTGAGTGAAAAATGCAATTAAACCGAAAGTAAACGCTATCCTAGATACAGTCCCGTGATTCTTCACGGTCCCAGAAATGTTTACCGCTCGAGCGATTCGGAAGGAAAGCGCCTCGACCTGAACTCTGGCCCCTCTCCGACCCCTTTCAGATCGAGGGAACCGGTTTGATCTCGTGCCGCACGATGACCCAGTACACCCTGCCCGTCTTGTACCTGAACCTGGGGGGCGAGATGATGTACATCATCCGCCAGCGCCTGGGCGCCCAGGAGATCGAGCCGTCCAAAGTCAGCAAGGGTGAGGAGGTTCGTCATCGTGCGCCTGGCGAGCGGCGAGCGTCGGGCTCTCTCGCTTTCGGAGACCGGAACCGAGAAATCGTCTTAGGAGGCTGCCGGATGAGAGGGTTCGGGTGAAGGAAACTGCAACATCTGCCGAAACGGGTTGCTTCCTGAAAATTCCATATTTCATTCAAAATTAAAATCTGAAGCGTCACCAAGCAGAGGATCGTCAGGCAAAGTCCGTTTTTTGGTCTTTGCTGCCGTTAGGTGGATTTTCCCCGATAGGATAACATGGATCGACACGAAGTAGGCTTCCAAAATTGATCTTATGTCGTAGCTGAATTTCACTCCGTTATGTAACATCTGTTTGGGTATTAGGGATTGTCACGTGGAAACGCTGCGGCAGAAGCTCGACTTTGCCGCTGAATGGAGATGGCAACGATGTCGATCGTGGAAATCGTCCGCGGAAGCGATTGTGATCGCTTCAATCGCGAAATAACTTGTTAAACGGATTCCCAATTGAAATTGGAGGCTTTTTTCCGCCGCTAAAGGAATTCAGGGATGGAAATCTCTTGGAGTTTCATGATCATCACTTTGGGTGCGCCTTTTCTCTGCTGACTCCGCTGACGCTTCCAGCAACCCGTGACGTCACATTTGCGTTTCGTTCGGGCTCTCAGTTATTTTTCGTTTCGCTGGCAGCTGCTAGTCCGAGAGTGACGACATTTAATGGCGTAGTCGTATCGAGCGCTGACAGAAAGAGATGTCATTTTTGTCAACAGCTGTCAGGGGCTGGAGAAAAAGATACGCCCATGAAATAGACCTGGGCACGGTCCTTGCAAATGTTGTTGCGAAGAATGTTCCATTTTTGTATCATTTTCTGATAGGTTTTCATTTACGCGCTTGCTGCAATTCCCGATTTTTCTTCTCCCCATCCCCCCCCCCCCCCGAAAGTTACTTA